GAATTAAAAATAACTATTATTGTTTACGTTTTTTTTTTTTTGTTGTCATGACATAGACTATTATGATTACTATTTTATCTGTATTTAATCATATCTTTTATCAGTTGAAAGAATGTGGAGGAGTCTCTGCGAGTGCAAAAAATTGTATATACGCCTCAGGAAAAACCATACATTTCCGAGACTAATAAAATTGTTATTTTAGTCCCTGTAAATCGGGACTGAAGTGGTTCTTTTTGACCCTAGGGATAGAAAGTGTTTCCATAACAACCAAACACTTTAACCTCGCTAACGCTCGGGTACTAATCTCCACTTTCGGGATTACATCGTATACTTTAGTCTTTTGGTATATAATGTACTATTGTTAGTGTTCAAATGCTCAGCCGCGATCAAACACAATTTGGGTACATCACATTACCGCACGATTTCAGATTATGGCACGATTTATCGTTTCATAGAGGTGCCATAGCGACGAAGTGGAACACCTCAAGAATTAGCGTGATCTCTTATGTTTCTTAAAAACAAAGTAAAGCAGTCAGTTATTTTGTATTAATTTCTATTTAAATGTAAAATACACAATTTGAGTTTCCGGTAATTGTAAATCCAGAGGTGGCGGTTTTGATGGTAGATTCGCTTCTTGTAGAATTAAAAGTGTGTAGTTCTAATCGGTGATCCAACTCCCACTGATGATTCAACTGTTTCTTTAATTTCAACCGATAATCCAAATGTTCGGACAACTTACTTTTTATTTTTTATGGAATCTGCCACATATGCTTTTGCAACGGTATCACTTTTCCAGTCGTCGTGTCTTTTTAGGGTCCTAATACCGGCAACACTATCCTAAAGAATTGTGGCAGACGTCCTCCGGAACGAGTGCCCCGTGTACATACCCGTTAGCATTAGGTAGCTTGAAGTATCCTGCTATTTTTCTCGGAGTTTGTCCAAATGTATTGATTCCTACGGGATTACAGGTGCATTGATTGTTGTTATAACACAAAAAAAAACCTTTGAATTTTAACATATTTTGGTCGCCAATTCCTATATGTTTTAATCAATGCAATATCATCAAATCTTCCAGTTTCATTTAAATGGTGAAAATTCTTGGTCTATGTGTTTTGGTGTATTTAATGTGAACAACTACAACCGATCCTTCCTCTTTAACGTCGTTTATTATATACAAGTTTTAGAATTCTACGGTTCTGCAGGCCCAAAAAAAAAACTTTTGACTTTTCTGGTATATAACCAATTGAGCGAGTCTTCAGGAAGGCATTCAATTTTGGGAAACTGCCAATATCTACGTTATTTTTTTATTCGCAGCATACACTTTATCTTTGAATAAGCACACCATAATGATGAAGCTTTGTATGTTTTCGACTATATAATAAAAAGAAAACAAAATTAGTATCAGCGTATTTAATTACCTACTGTTTCGTAATACCTGATCCAAAAAGTAGGCAAGTAGAACTTGTTCCGTCACAGTGTACACTTTTTGCTGTTTTCAGCAAAATGAAAAATTTTCAAATTTTTTGGCATACATAGTTCCGGACTTTTTTGGAATTAAACTTTGCTCAGCTTCCGCAGCCTGTTGGCTAATTTCATCGTATGATGAATTATTGAAAAAAGCATGGATTGCTTTTGTAGTTTTATTCAGGTGAGAATATAATTCATGTATCACATGACCTCATTTCTTCCAATAGAATTTGTTCATGCCCTTAGTTACATGTCTATCACAGCGATAATAATTTTATTGCCTTATTGTGGTCTGTTGCTACCTAAATTTAAAAACTGTCAAATTGACAAATTTTAGAATTTCATAAATTTTTTTGTCTTTTATGGCTTGCCAACGTTGGGGGCAAGCTCAAAACGACGAAATCAATTCTATTATCAAAAAATGTGTTCATTTATTATATTCTCATGTTGAATATAACTCGTGATATGATTAATAATCGAAGATATGGCTCGTGAAACCGAAGCAGCACATTCAACGAGTGCTTCGCACTCGTTGAATCTGCAGCTCGGTTTCACTCGAAATATTATCGATAATAACCATATCACTTGTTATATTATAATTGAAAGTAAGATTTCTAGAAATTAAAACTGATTTTTCTATTACCGCTACTTCGACCACAAAATGAAATATGATATTCGTTTATAATGCACGATTATGGCACTCGTGAAATTATCGCATTCGTTTCGCTCATGCGCTAGTCGCTAGACTTTCATTCGTGCCATAATCCTTTGCACCAGTGGCGGCTCGTCAGATGAGGCAAGTGAGGCGGCGCCTCACAGCATATATCTTACGAACAGATTGACTTAATTTATAATTAAAAAAGAGCTTTCAATGCATTTTTAGTTACAAAAATATGTTGAAATGACAAATCTGTACATGATTTTTTATTTTTTACACTTCCTGCTAACATTTTCCGTTGAATACCGTACGATTTATGCCCCTCGTTCTTCAACTGAAGCGGCCAGAACGTCGGTTCACTTGAACCAGCGAAGCCCAATCACAGACACGGATTTCCATGGCTCAGCTCCTATACTCATATACAAGAGTTCGCTCGGAACTGAGGCGATATCTTCGGTGCTTCTCGGCCAATTTCGGCGTACTCATTAAACCATTTTTCCATTTACTTTACAGAACGGAAGGGTTGCGGGGTGCGTGGGTAATTAGCATGAACGTGAATAAAAACCCACGTGTTGGTGTTTTGTGTTATTGTCTCTTTCATAGGTACAGGTGAGTGAAAAATGAATCCCGAGTACGACATCGTCATGTTGCTTCTTGAAACGCCGTTTTCACGGAGAACCGAGCTAGGACGTCGGCAAATTTTGCTAAATATCGAGCAGTCAAAACGGTTAATTCATTTAACTGCCATTGATAAGCGACAGTATCGTCAGTACTCCAAGTCTTTTAAATCAACTTGGTACCTACGAAACATATACCTAAATGGCTCTGCCGTAATATTTACATAACATCTCGGGATAGATATAACGATTTAAAGAATTTCATCCGAAATGTAAAGTTACATGAAAGTTCCAAAGTACACATTAAAAATTTCATGGGCTTAAAACGTTTAGAAAAGAACACAACAACTATTCCCGAATCCCTCCAAGAAAGTGCTACTTTCAACAAAATTTTGACTTGTAAAAACATTGTTGATTCAATGTGTTATGGGTGTTATTATTATTATTATTAGGACCTACTACTGAGCCGGGAATGACCGGTATTCAGGCAAGACTTCTATCATTACTAACTAGTAAGACCAAGTAATATTACTATTATTGTCAAACTTCTATCATCGCCTCACCACATCAGACAGTCACGAGCCGCCACTGCTTTGCACTATAAACTAATATCGTAACTTCATAACATACTAATGATACTACAAACACACTGGACATAGCAAAATAGTAATTTTCAACATTTAAAAAATTATCCGGAAATGTGTGTCATAATTATCAAAACTAATTTTTTTATCTCGCTCCACTTGTATAAAAAGTATCAAAACTTACATCTACTTACATCTAAAGATGTTATGATATGTTACTGCTGATAAAAGCCTGGCACAGAAACCGAATCATGGCTGTTTTAAAAGTTTTGTTTACACCATTGCCATGGAAACCACACGTCCTAGCCATTTCATTCAATAGAACTGCGGTCCCGTTCTGACAATGCTTGGCAGGAGTAACTCAATCGCGGGTTTTAATTTTCATGCGTGATAGACGTAAAACAAGTATGAAAAATATTCTTGGATAAGCTTCTAGGTAATACGGACATTCGGAAACAACTAAACAGCGCCTATATTAATAATATTCGGGCACATAACGCAAGGGTCGACAAAAATCGCCATATATTACAACGACTGATTATGTGCATACAATTTTGTGGAGTGTTTGAACTTGCTTTACGTGGTCATGACGAAAGTAGGGAACCACAAAATCCAGGTATATTTCGAGGTCTGATTGATTTTACGGCTAAATTGGATTCTACTTTATATGATTATTTGAAAGAAGCAACGGTTGTTAAAGGAACGTCTAAAACTGTCCAAAATGAACTTTTATTTTTATTGAATGTATTTTTGTATTTATTTTCGTCACACAATTTCGTCTATTAATTGGTAACAACAACCTGTTTTATATCTTCATATAGTTATATGTATTTAACTCATCAATCAAATTGTGTCCCCCCATTTCAAAAGGTCACGAGCCGCCACTGTTACATAACGAAATAAAGTTTGTCTACAATTATAAGAATTTTATGAACTCCTAATGTTAATTCGTTTTACAGCTCATGGTAGAAGGAGACATGGTATAGGCATCCGATGTACCAATTTAAAAATGGTCTGCGCATCCATTTGTGACGTTAGGTGGCATCAAGGACCTTGTGATTCTTGTGAGCTTCGCTAGGGAAGTCTAGGGAATTTCAGTTTGAGTTGTTATTGCTCTGTCCAATACGTCAATTAGTTGTCGGATAACGAAAGTTTGTATTTTAAATTTCGCGCTAATTTCACCCCACTTGACGTCACACCCGATGCGTATGCCTATACCACTGCCTATACCATGTCCATGGTAGAAGGAGACATGGTATAGGCATCCGATGTACCAATTTAAAAATGGTCTGCGCATCCATTTGTGACGTTAGGTGGCATCAACGACCTTGTGATTCTTGTGAGCTTCGCTAGGGAAGTCTAGGGAATTTCAGCTTGAGTTGTCATTGCTCTGTCCAATACGTCAATTAGTTGTCGGATAACGAATTGTATTTTAAATTTCGCGCTAATTTCACCCCACTTGACGTCACACCCGATGCGTATGCCTATACCATGTCTCCTTCTACCATGACCATGTCTCCTTCTACCATGTTACAGCCCTCGCTACAGAATTAACTTTGGGAGTCCATCAAATTCTTATAATTCTAGACAAACTTTACCACCTTATGCTGTCGTTTTCTATCCATCTTTGAATAGCTCGCATTAGTTCCGCCAGGGTGCGACACTGTTTCTCGATTTGACGAATGTAACTTAACCCTGAAATGGTGCGTTCGGCCCGCGCTCGAGTTTCGACCTGAATCTGAAAAGGCAAGATAACATATCGTATTTTAGTTATGCTGTGGTAGATAAGTGTGTGCGGCTGTGCGTTTTTACCTTGTTTTTGTTACTGTGTGTGTATATTTTGCTGACGTCGTTAACTTACGTCTGTGTCTTGAGTGTTATTTGTATCTTGCAAACTGAGAAACTTTTCGTTTTTTTGAATTTGTTTGACGGCGAAAACAACTACAACCATGGAAGATCTTTATGAGTAAGTTTTATAAATCCAATCTCACAGTGCTTGTGTGTTAATACCGTGTCGTATTTATTTCAGCCCTGAGGAAAAAATTCTGTGTCCTTACAATAGTGCCCACCACATACGAAGATGTAAAATGTCATTTCATCTTGTAAAATGCAAAAAAAATTATGGGGAACAGAAAATGGTTCCTTGCGATTTTAATTCAACTCATATGGTTCCAGAGCCAGAGTTACGGGTAAGAACTTCAAAAAACTGAGTCCATAATCACGAGAATGAATTTTTAGTATCATCATCAAAATTGCGAAGATCGAAAAAAAATCGAAGCTCAAATTGTTGAGTCCCAGATGAAAACTGAAAGTAGATTCCCAATTCCAGTTCTTGATTGTCCAACAGATGAAAGTTGGGATCATGTGAGTTCCTTGTTAATATACAAAAAAAATAAAATAAAATCCACATTTGCACAAACAATAGAGTATTGGTGGTCATCATAAGTTGAATGAGTTACAAAATACAAACTTGTTTGTGGAGTCCACGTTTTTTTGTATTAGAAGTGTTTTTTCAGTAGTGAATTTTTTATTAGCAAATTATTTTAATTAATTTATTTCAATCTTGACCTGTAGGAGAGTGCTGCTTCTTATGATCCAAAAACATACATACAAAATCGTGACATTTTATGTCATGTAGATGTTGAATCACAGACTGTAAGAAAGAATTTTCGTCTTAGTGAACGTATAAAATTCGCAAATATGCCTGATTCAAAATTTCCGAGTTCAAGTGTCAGTTACGAAGCTCGTGAAAGTTGGGACACCGTGAGTTATCTCTTAAGATTATGAAAAACCATGAAGAAAGAAGAATCATACAATTTGAGTTGGTTTAAACATGCATGTGCAATGCTGATTTTTTTTACTGACAGAATTTATTCTTCTTTTATTGCATCATGTATTTATATCATCTGTATATATTTGCTGTTCCCATGTGTAATTAATATTACTTTTTTCCGCTTCCCACAGGACAACGCTCCAACATATGATCCAAAGAAATACACTGAAACTCATGATGTACTACGTCAATTAAATGTTGAATCAGGTGCCAAAAGAAAAAACTTTAGACTGAATGAACGTCAGAGATTTAACAATCTGAGTGAACAAAACATTGTGTCTCCACCTGCACCAAAACCAGTAAGATTCATTCCCCTTGTGACTGTAACTGTGATAAATAGTGTCACTTTTAGGAAACGCGGCGTCTTCCGACGCACCATCGTGTTGCCATCGTGGAAGAAGAAAGGGATAGATCCGATCCAGAAAGTTTCCGTCAAGCAGTGCGGTCTCGTAGAATGTACAGACAGCACTCAGAATCAGATACAACTAATTCGGAAAATATGCAATGAACTGAAGAAGTATGCAAAATCCATTCTTAAATGTAACTGTGTTACCTTTTGACTTAATTTGTGTTTGGAATTTTTAATTTTTGTTATTGTTAAGAGAAAATCTTTGTTTTTTCTAATGAACAAACGTTAACTGAAAATACGTTATTTTAAAGAAAAATATAATTCTGTACGTTTTTTAATAATAGAACGATTAAAAAAATGGTGTTTGAATATTTAACCTGAATGAAGTGATATTAGAAGTAAGTTACTTTGGCGAATGTCCAGTATATTTTTTCAATTTCAATCTTGTGGTTGGCGATTTTACCAAATAGATAAGAACTAATTTAAAATCTTATGTCTACTTTAAGGTTAGATGCTTACGATAGAAATTTGTTCAATATTCATACTTTCCAAAAAATTGATGACACCATCGCAAAATATTTAAATTTGTAGCGTAACATGCCTTACTATCTTTGGGTTAACAATAGCCTTCTGTTTTAACTTCTTATATACGAATTACAAAAAATCGTCCAAAATTGAAATTGACCAAAACAAAAAATAACATGGTGCATTAATAGCAAGAATCTGCAAATGGAAAGATCAGATTTCAGGACTACGTTTTGAATTGGAGAATTAAAAAATTCCACTCTTGAACATCACGAATCGTTAATAACATAATAACACACTAATAATTTGTTGTTTAGTTTTGTTATCACAAATTCTTTAAGTAATCTCATGCGTAAAGCATCTGAGGAATTTCAAACTAGGTTAAAGATATTGAAGTACATAATACAGTATAATATCTTTGAAGCAGACATATTATGTATATTCCACTTAAAAAAAAACTGTTTTAAAAAGCATTCCATTGAAATTAGAAATTAATTTCCTTGCTTCTTAATGCTTCATGTTTATTATTTAATACACTGATACCAAATCTACTTCAAAAAACAACAGGGGAAGGTAGGTAAGTACTTAACAATGTTTGAAGCTAACATATTTTATTGTTTTCAACTTAGTTGTTTCTGTAACCAAATGTGTACCTATTATCAGTGACTATATATAGTCACTGCTATTATCTATCTAAAATTTTCGAGTTACAACTGTAAAACGTGCAAACGCCCCATTGTTAGACAAACTTTCCCTGTATTTATTAGATACAGCTGTCTTTTTGTTACGAGAATTTTTGAAGAGAACGGAGATGTCATCCCATTCTTTTATGTAGAATTCCTAAATTACCCACGCAATATACATGAGTACCATAAACTTCCCTAAAACCCCATGGATCGAGGGCGTTTTCGGTTTAGTGCACGTTACACAATAATAGGTTCAAAAAAGGTGGAATCCCGTTGTTTAAAGCCATAAAATTGACCGAAAGCCCATGAAGTAGTAGTAGATATGTCAATCTTATTGTTGTTAGCCAATAAAGTACGCGTCGAATTTATTCGTAGAAAGGGATGCATTTCTTTAGAAATTGTATGATTAATTATATATTTATGTAGATGTTTACATTGTTTAAGAGAAGAGATTTATTAGTTTCGGTCGTGTAGATTGTCTAAGTTTCGATCAATGCTTTCGAACTTATAAAGTGTATTTTTGTAATTGCCACCTCGAGCCAGGGCTGAAGAAATGAGTCGGCAAGTTCCGAAGTGTGATAAATTTAATTAATAATTAGGGTTCGACCATAAGAAAAAGGCGTTTCTAATTTGCAGACCACAGTTTATCTTGCAGACTGGGGGTTAAAAATGCTCCAATCAAGTTGAAACTCAACATTTGCTTATTTCTCAATACAAAGATTATTGACACAAAATTTCAACCCAATCGGAGAAACCGTTAAAAACTACCCCCAAAACAACCTTGCAGACTGGCACTTAAAAATACTCTAATCAAGTTAAATTTTGACATTCGCTAGTTTTTCAATACGAGGATTATTGATGCAAAATTTCAGCCCATTCGGAGAAACCCTCAAAAATCACCCCCAAAACAACCTTGCAGACTGGGGGTTAAAAATGCTCCAATCAAGAAAAAACTCGATATTTGCTTATTTCTCAATACGAAGATTGTTGATACAAAATTTCAAGCCGTTCGGAGAAACCCTTAACAACCACCCTTAAAACAGATTTGCAGACTGGGGGTTAAAAATGCTCCAATCAAGTTAAAACTCGATATTTGCTTATTTCTTAATACGAAGATTGTTAATACAGAATTTCAACCCGTTCGGAGAAACCGTTAAAAACTACCCCTAAAACAACCTTGCAGACTAGGGCTTAAAAATACTCTAATCAATTCAAAATTTAAAATTCGCTAGTTTTTCAATACGAGGATTATTGATGCAAAATTTCACCCCATTCGGAGAAACCCTCAAAAATCATCCCCAAAACAACCTTGCAGACTGGGGGTAAAAAAAGTTTCAATCAAATCAAAAACTCGATATTTGCTTATTTCTCAATACAAAGATTATTGACACAAAATTTCAACCCGTTCGGAGAAACCGTTAAAAACTACCCCCAAAACAACCTTGCAGACTGGAGCTTAAAAATACTCTGATCAAGTTAAATTTTGACAGTCCCTAGTTTTTTAATACCAGGATTATTGATGCAAAATTTCAGCCCATTCGGAGAAACCCGCAAAAATCACCCCTAAAACAACCTTGCAGACTGGGGGTTAAAAATGCTCCAATCTAGTTAAAACTCGATATTTGTTTATTTCTCAATACGAAGATTGTTAATACAAAATTTCAACCTGTTCGGAGAAACCGTTAAAAACTACCCCTAAAACAACCTTGCAGACTAGGGCTTAAAAATACTCTAATCAAGTCAAAATTTGACATTAATTTCTTTTTTTATTATTTTATTGTTAATTATTAGTTAATTTATTAATATTTAAATTTAAAAAATATATAAATTACGAACATAGGAGTATTTGTTACAGATACGTGAATTGTGATAATTTGAGTTCATGTTTATCGCTGTTAGATAATTGTTGCTACTATGTAAGAATGCATAAGTTCGGCATTTTTTCGTCCAATCTCTCATTTTTTGTGCGTGAAAGTGAAGTGTCAAATTTTGAATTGATTAGAGTATTTTTAAGCCCTAGTCTGCAAGGTTGTTTTAGGGGTAGTTTTTAACGGTTTCTCCGAACGGGTTGAAATTTTGTATTGACAATCTTCGTATTGAGAAATAAGCAAATTTCGAGTTTTAACTTGATTGGAGCATGTTTAACCCCCAGTCTGCAAATCTGTTTTAAGGGTGGTTGTTAAGGGTTTCTCCGAATGGCTTGAAATTTTGTATCAACAATCTTCGTATTGAGAAATAAGCAAATATCGAGTTTTAACTTGATTGGGGCATTTTTAACCCCCAGTCTGCAAGGTTGTTTTGGGGGTGATTTTTGAGGGTTTCTCCGAATGGGCTGAAATTTTGCATGAATAATCCTCGTATTGAAAAACTAGCGAATGTCAAAATTTAACTTGATTGGAGTATTTTTAACCTCCAGTCTGCAAGCTTGTTTTGGGGGTGGTTTTTAAGGGTTTTTCCGAACGGGTTGAAATTTTGTACCAATAATCTTCGTATTGAGAAATAAGCAAATGTTGAGTTTCAACTTGATTGGAGCATTTTTAACCCCCAGTCTGCAAGATAAACTGTGGTCTGCAAATTAGACAGGCCCATAAGAAAATCTCACCGTTTTCAATGGCGCCGGGTAAGGCGCTGCTTATGAATTAGGGGAAATGTGCCTGAGATGGCATAGCGGACGAGTTGGCATAGTGGGCTTTTTTCCATCTATTAATTTAAAAAAAGCGCCAGAAATTTACTAGGTGGTGTGTAACAATGCGAATTCACGACTGTGAGCTGTTATAGTGACCACCAGTAAAATAAAGAATTTTATTACGATTCTTCCAAAATACAGGTACGAAAGTTTTTTTCATCGCATTACATTTTGTTTTGTTTCATAAAAATGCACACCAATCCTGGATATTTGAAAATATCTGGTTTTTTATACATTCATAACTTACAAAACTCACGTCTGTGCAAATCATATGTGCGTTTCCTAAAAGTCACAAATTTTGATCGTGAATGTGCACACAAGGGAGAGTTGGCATATATGCACTTCGGCTTAATTGGCATATGTTTGCGCCTGCTGAAGTAACGAATCATGAGATTTTAAAAGATCCTGACTTCGAAGGACAAAGAGAAGAACAAACAGAGGAACACTTTGAAGAGCAAGCAGACAAGCGATTGGGGAAACAAACTGAAGAACAAACCGATATTTCTTGTAGCAGTCTTCTAAATTTAGATCTTGAAAGTATAACAAACAAAACTGGTTCTGCAAAGAGCATCATCATGTCAAGTTCCACAAGTTCTAAAACTAAATACTCTCCTATAAGAGATATTTCGCTGATTCCAAAAGCTACAATTTAGAACGCAAAACCAATAAAAATGAAGGGAAAATGGGAGTCGTCAATACTACGCCAGAAATACAAATGCTAAAGCAAAAGGAAGCTGATAAGCAAGTAGCAGCTTTAAAAAAAATTTGCACGGAAGACTTTGGAAAAGGATGGAAATTTGCACTGAAGAAGAAGAAAGCCTTGAAGCCGATGAAGAAACAGATGCAGCATGCATATACTGCAACGAACTCTACTCCCATTCCCGATTTAATGAATGGTGGCTTAGGTGCCAAGTTTGCAAAAAGTGGGCCCAATGTGAGTGTGCTGGATTAAAAAGAAATATCAAAAACTTTATTTGCGATATTTGCCAGTAATTATAATTCAGTAGGTAATACATATCTTTTATTTTATTATTATTCCATTTTAGATTTTTTATGTTAGGTTCTGAAACAAGCTATGCCATCTCACCTTGATGGTGTTGCTGAGATGGCATGGTGTCACCTTTTTTAAAAAAATTAATAAATGATAAAATTGTTTTTTTTATCATTCTATTATAAATACATACATGGAGAAAATAAAAATTTTAAAGGCACAATAAAGTCATTGGAAAAAATGTATGCCAACTCAGGCACATTTCCCCTACATAGGTATATATACAGCCTGGCTACCGATGTTTGGAGGTGACTTCACTAATCTCTAATCGTTTTAAGGGCTTCTACCAGCCCGCATAACCGCCTACGGC